ATGGGGAACATCAGCATTTACGGGAAGGCAGAGGAAGAGGAGCCCACAAAAGAGACTGGGAAGGAGAAGCCTGAGAAGAGGAAAGCTGGAAAGAAGCATCTTGGATGCCAAGATCAGAGAGAATCGCAAGGAGGAGGCAGTGGCCATGCCAGATGTAGTGGAGAGGAGAGGGAAATTAAAGACAGAAAAAACACCCATTGGTGGTAGCAATGAAGAGTTCTTTGAGGGCCTCTCCCAGAGCAGATGTGGGGAAGCAACAGGGTATGGAGTTGAGTGGATTGAGGAAGGAATGGATGTGAGAAGGTTGCAGCCTGGAGGACAAGTTACTCAGCAGTGAAGAGAAGGAAACAGACAACAGGCTGGGGGAGTGATTTTTGGAAGATGGGCAGATGTAGCAAGTTCATTTCTAGTCCGAGGGCTGAGAGCCCGCAGAGAGGGTGAAGGGAGGGGCCGGCTTCCAGAGCAATACAGAGATTTAGGAACAATGAACCAACGCCTGTGGTCCCTACCTCATGGCCTCTACTGCCTTTTGGAGAGGAAGGTAGTAGCTTACAGAGCTTGAAGAGAATGGTGTAACTTTAGAATATCTCTTGTGGGAAATGGGAAAAAGAGTTGAGAGAGCCCATGTAAGGATTTTCCAGAAACCCTGGAAGATTTTGTGCTCAGGAGCAAAAAAGAAAAGAAAAAAGGTAGATTGTTGTACCAGGGTTAAGCTTTGTCGTGTGGGTGAGGTGGAAGGAGCCAAAGGCCGAGGAATCTGTGAGAAAGCAGTTCCGAGGGTGTCCGTGGCTAACATGTTAGGGAAAGACCCAGGTAGCAGGACTGGCTAGCACATGGGAGGGTTAGAGGACTCGGGGCTCTAAGAGGGCAAGTGGCTGGTGTTGGTAGCAAGGGTGGTCTTTCCTACCATTCCTGAGTGATAATACGTTTCCTTTGAAATTTGACTTCACTGTGTTCTTAGAGCGTTTCTTTTCTTCTCCTGTGTTGTTATATGAATAAATAGTAAGAGTGGCTGATGTTTGTTGACTGTTGTCTGTGTTGCAGGCACTGTCCTAAGTGCTTGACTTACATGAACTCATTTCATCTTCACATCCACCCATCGGTGTAGGTGCTGTTAAGTTATCCCTGTTTTGCAGAGGTGGCAATCAAGAAGGTACACAGTAGTAAGGGGCTGTATCAGCTTTTTCTAGGTTATGTTGTGATAACAAAACTCCCAAAGTCAGGGGTTTACAAGGATAAAACTTATTTCTGTTGATGTTTTTTTGTCAGCTGGGGTCATCTGGGACTCTGCCCTACATGTCTTTGTTCTACTCATGGCGTGGAGAAGTAGAAGTCCTGTTTTGCCTGGGGTAGTCCCAGACTACACCCGTCCCAGTGTAATTATTAACAGGTCTCCTTTGTACTCTTAGAAATGTTCCAGTTTAGATGATTAATATGTGGTCATCCCATTCAAAAAATAGTGAGTAAAAACGATGGCAAGGAATCGTCACTTCTGGAAGGCTTTCTGACAATTCCAGCAATGGTAACAGTGGAAGGCATTTCTTCCTTCTCTAGTTTGCCAAGATCATTTTTCCCCCCAGGATTACCTGAGATTTTCCCAAGGTAAAATCCAGATGAGGACTGATGTGCCGCTGGCTTGACCGCGCATGTCAGAATCCCCAGCCAGAAATGAGGATGAGCCACATGCCTTCAGGACAGGGCGGAGATGGAGGAGGACAGGAGTGTGGTGACCCTCAGAACATCAACAGACAGGCTGTTTATGATAGGAACACATTGCAGCTGGGAAGGAGGGTGGCCGAGATACGAAATACCTTCAAGGTGGACGCATACCCAGGGGCATATCATTCGGTGGCAGGGGCCAGCACGGACATGCAGCATTGAAGCGTGTGCTACAGCCTAATGCGTCAGCCCAGGCAGACTTGTTTGGAGCACACAAAACAGCTCTGAGTTAAGTCCTGTAAGCCATTAAAGAAGTACGGTCTGGTGAATGAACCCTAATCTCGTGATGATCAAGTGATGACATCATATTCTGTCTCCGAGGAGACGCTGTTGTGGGCAGAAGGCAGTAGAGGAAGGTTGCATCGAGATTGCGTGCCGCCCCAGGCCCCATCTTCGAGGATTCTTCCAGAAGTTCTGACTGATGTTTACCTTCACATCTTGTCGCAGGGGAATCTTCTCTGTTTAGTGTCGTAGGGTTGGCTTTATGGAATGTAATTCATTTTTATCTTTAGCATAAATTTGTCTGTTTCTTTTAAGGCCGCCAGAAAGCGCAACATAGACTCCCCACAGAAATCTCATTTTATCTCCTAAGCTGCAGAATAAACGTACCTTGTTTGCAAAGGGAGCATTTTTCTTTATACTCAAATCACTTCAACGTGTATTTTGCCTCTTCAGCTCACCGACCTTGCCCTCAGCATCTGATGTAAATCACCGTGCCAGTTCCTGACTAGGAGAGTGCTTGGTCTCTTGTGCGGGAAGTTTGTTTACCTTCATGACTCCTGGCTTCTGCAGAGCCTGCCATACCCCACAGCGTCGCCGGGCCCTGTGGAAAGCTCTCTGTTGTCACTGCTGGGGAAGGTGCGCGACTCAGGGCCCGACACACAGGCCTGAGAGTCCGGCGGTCTTGCGCTCTGCTCCCAGCTCCATGTGTGACTCACTCTGGGTCAGGTGCTTCCCCTCCTGTGCACCTCTGTCTGTCAAATAGAGAGCTCAGCTCTGTCCTTCTCCCTCCTGAGAAGAAGTGCAGAGATTTAGTCCCCTTTGCGGTCACCCAGTGTCTAAGTGCCAAATGCCTAAAAGACACAACAAAGAGAGTCTAAGATAGCAGGCTAGTTGGGATGACGACTGTTCGGTAAGGGCAGGAGTATTTTCTGTGGGATGGAATGTGTTCAGATCTTTCTCTCCTACCTTCCCATCTTCCTTCCTTTCCCTTTTCTAAATCCTTCCATATAAGAAAGTACCGTGTTTATACAGGCAGTTCCTTGAAGATCAAGGGTTACTACCTTACCCTCCTGGGCTGCTTAAATAAACAGAGAGCCTCATGGTCGCGCATGCTCCCCGCGTGCCAGGCATGGTGGCTGCCTCCTAGGCCTGCGTATTTCTGAAAGCGTGGTTGCCAGTCATCGGCTTCAGGAGCATCCGGAAGGAGGGTGTTAGAAATCGGGGGTGTGCCCCGTTCCAGACCCCTAAAACAGAATCTCTGGAAGTAGGGTCCAGGAAACTTTAACGTTCTCAGGGGAGCCTTATGCACGCTTGTGTGTAAAAAGCACTACCTGGGTCTCTGATACTGAATGAAAGTGTGGGATTTGGAGTTAGGCTCTGCTCCTTACTGATTACGTGATTGGCCCAGACATTTAACATCGCTGAGCTTCCCCGGAAGTCGAGGCTGTGGTGAGCCACGATTGCGCCACTGCACTCAGCCTGGGTGACAGAGAGAGCCCTTGTCTCAAAAAATTAAAAAAATATTGCTGAGTTTCTTCATCTTAATTTGTAAAGTGGAAAAATCACTTTTCTGGGCTGGCGTGAAGATTAAATGAAATAATAAAAGTGAAAATGTTTAAAAAGCTGTAAGCTCTGACACAAATTATTATTTACAGAAAGCCAGCTAGGCAGAGAGGGAGGGAGAGAGAGAGGGAGGGGTGGGGACGGAGATCTGCTGCCTGGGTATGGACAGAGAGGTGGGAAGTAGGTAGATAATAGAAACCTAATTGGAGAGAATGTGCGCGTCCCTGGGCTGCTGGTGGGGAGACCCCCGACGTGTGCTGTCATGGTGCTATTAATTATAAGGCGTTAAGTTTCTTTCTAGAATGTGAAAATAGGAGGCTTTAAGAGGTTTCTTTTTTTCTTCTGCTTTTAAAAATGTGCTATCTGGCATGGTACTTTCAGAGCAGCAGGAATTATTTACCTCACCTAGTGGAGAAAACACTCCTAATCATTTGAAGAAACTGCTATTTTTCTTAAAAAGAAAAATCAGACCAAGCCCAGTGGCTCATGCCTGTAATCTCAGCACTTTGGGAGGCCGAGGCGGGATCATGAGGTCAGGAGATGGAGACCATCCTGGATAACACGGTGAAACCCCGTCTCTACTAAACATACAAAAAATTAGCCGGGCGAGGTGGCGGCCCCTGTGGTCCCAGCTACTCGGGAGGCTGAGGCAGGAGAATGGCGTGAACCCGGGAGGCGGTGCTTGCAGTGAGCTGAGATCGCGCCACTGCACTCCAGCCTGGGAGACAGAGCGAGACTCCGTCTCAAAAAAAAAAAAAAAAAAAAAAAGAAATCTCAGTAGAGGCTTCTAAGCATTTATCACCAAACTCAGGAAAAGTACTGAAGTATGGCTCAGTATTGCATGACTTTAAATCTGGCTTTTACGCACGTCAAGATGTGTTTCCATGCTCTAAACGCCTAGTTTTAAAATGTCTGGCTGGCTGGGAACCATTCCTGGTTACCAACTCAAGGCATGGTCCGTACTTAGGCAGAGCTTGTTAATGAGAATAGAGGTAAGTCTACTTTCCAACTAGTCTTGATAATGTTTAAGTTTTTTAGTTCTTCTTTATCAAATCCGATAAGCCTGTCTTTGTTCTTACACAACACGATGCAGAGCTCATCCTGGTGGAACTGTCGCCCCCGCCATTCTCAGGAAACCCCCCTGTGTTGGGATTATCTTCAATTCAAGGTTACTTTTTAGGAAACTTTTTAAGTCTCTTATCAATTTTTGAGGGCTGATGTCATTACAACCAAATCACATCTGTAAATCCCTCACTCAGTTGGCTGCCTGTACGGTTAGTGATTGCATGGAAATAAACAAGGTGGAATCAGTGCACGAGCGAAGGCTCCCCGAGCTTCCTTCACGGTGGCCGCCTGCCTTCCTGATATGTGCATTTCTGCCGTGTGGACCCAGGGAGGATGTCAGTGAGATTTAACTAACACAGAACCTAAATATAAATTAAAACAAATCCTGGTTTTCTTCTGACCCCTAAGGAGTCGTCTTGCTTTCCTTGCAGGGGCACCTCACTCTGAGATGGCTGCTTTAGAGAATCTTCCCAGGAAAGGCCCTTTGGGAAAAACGATGTAAAGTATAAAATACTCTAACAATTACTAGAGTGGCTCCCAAGCAATAGATACTAAAGAGAAATTGGAAAATGCCAGTAAACAAAAAAGAAGAGGAAAACACCTTCATTCCACAAAAGTTACCCACCCTTACGAATGCTTTGCTTCATCTCTTCTGAAAGCTTTTTCCAGGGATGTGTCTCTCTATAGAACTTCTTTAAAATATCACTGTGGAACCTATTAGTTAGGGTCCTTGACCATGAGGACAGAAAGCAGGACTCACTGGAAGGCATCTGGGCTGAGGAAGGGGTGCTTACAGAGCCTACAGGAGACTGGGCCACCAGGCTCAGGCTAACAGGAGCCAAGGGGGCATCTGAGGGCAAAGAAGCATGGTGTAAGAGGATAGCAAACATCACATAACCGGAACAGCCCGTCCAGGGCCGCTGCTGCAGGGGATAGCTTTGCACTGCTTCAGGTTCAGGGCCTGCAAGACACAACCCGCTGAGCTGAGCTCAGTCTGGCCTGGGCAGGTAAGGACGGACCTTGCTTCTAGGCAGCCATGTGGAAGGCAGGAATCCTCCAACCACCAGCTACACCCCACTGGAGGAAGAAAATACTCTGCTAAGAAATCAGGGTACTACTGGGGAAGAGAAATAGATAAATAACAAACATGACAATACTACAGGATCAGACCATATATGCTATGATGTAATCTGCTATTTTAAGTGAATACATAATGAACACTCTTTCCATGATAATGTATATTCACCTAAAACATAACTTTGACTGGATAGTATCTAATTGTTTGGCTATACCTTAATTAATTAATTAATTAATTTAGAGACAAGTCTTGCCGTGTCACCCCAGCTGGAGTGCAGAGGCACGGTCATAGCTCACTCCAGCCTCGAACTCCTGGCCTCAAGCAATCCTCCCACCTTGGCCTCCCAAAGAGCTGGGATTAGAGCCACCACACCTGGCCTATTAGTTCCTCATTCTTAGTAATTTAAATACTTTTCAGTTTTCTCTATTATAATAAATTAAGATAAACATCCTACTAGTTAAATCTTAATTGTTTGCTTAGAATACATTCCAAAAAGCAGAACTGTTGGGCCACCTTTAAAGTAATGGGGATCTGTTTTTAAGTCTTTTGCTAACGTGTTTTCAATCGGTCCTGCAGAAAGATTGTTCCCATATTCTAAACCCTCCCCAGCATATTTTTGTTTTTTATTTTGCAATTAGTTAGGGAAAAATAGTATCTTACTGATCTTTTAAAAATTTGCATTCCAATGATAACTGGAACTTTCTCAAGGCCCACAGCAATGTACTGACGGATTCCGTTGGGTTAGCTCCAGGAAGCACCAAATCCGAGCCTCACAGATGGTTTCTTCAGATAGAAACAAACCCTTCGGCTGCTATGAAATGGAGCCCACAAAGCACAACATTACAGGCAGAATCTGAATTCCAGAGACAGTTTCTTTCAGAACAAGTATTATTTGCAGGAGGCAATTAGAATGAGCTACTATTGCACAGAAGACTTAGCAGGAAAGGTCACAGATATTCAAGCAATAAAATAGGAACTGGGGAAATAAGCCTGCAAAAGAAGTGAAGAATGACCAACACAGGCAGAACGAGGGGCCAACTGGCCGCCTGTGCCCATGCCAGAATACCAGCTTCTAAGGCTGTGGAAGCGTTTCCTAATGCAATTCATCTGAATTCCCACCATGTGCCAGACACTGTGCTGGGCACCAGAGATGCCAAAATGAGTATGAGACAGAGCCCTTGTCTTTGAGAGGTTTCAACCTCATGGGAGAGACAGGAAGACCAGTGATGACACTGAGCGAGAGTTGTTCAGCAATGTTAGCCAAGTGCATTGGGGTCAATGACAGCAGCTGGCTCTGCCTGTGGGACTCATGGAGGACTTCACAGAGGAAGTGACAGGATGAACTGCAAATGTTTTATGGGCTCACATTGGCAATTTTGCTGCCAATACTGGGTGGGTGAGAATGTTCTAGAACAAGATGGCTTGAGGCTACTGCTGAAATAGCTTTTTAATAGCATGGCGTAGGGAAAAGAGTGTGAATTCCAGCTGTACCAGGTATAGGATGTGTGACCTGGGGAAAGTCACGTGATGTGTCTGTCGTCTGTTGCCCATCTGTAAAGTGGCAGAAATTGTAGCTACCTTGTAGGATTACTCTGAGCATGATGGGCTCTCTGCACATAGGGCTTAGTAAGTGGTATCTACCATTACAAAGTGTTGAGTAAATATCTGCTGAATGAATGAATATAAGTATTTTCTCCATATAGTAAATGTCTTCAATTATATAAGAAGGTTGGGTACAGGTGTTTATAGGATGTCCGGGAGTAAGGAAGTCCATTTTCCTAAACTTGTGACCTCAGGGACTTCATGGAAAGGGTGTACATGTCATTTTAAGTTCATTCATTCAATAAAATATTTAATTAGTGATATTCTATGCTGGAAACAGTTCTGGTAAACTGGTCGGGTGTGGTAGCTCACGCCTGTAATCCTAGCACTTTGGGAGGCCAACGCAGGTGGATCACTTGAGGTCAGGAGTTCGAGACCAGCCTGGGCAACATGGCAAAACCCTCTCTCTACTAAAAATGCAAAAATTAACTGGGCATGGTGGTGGGCACCTGTAGTCCCAGCTACTTGGAAGGCTGAGGCAGAAGAATTGCTTCAACCCAGGAGGCAGAGGCTGCAGTGAGCCGAGATTATGCCACTGCACTCCAGCCTGGGTGACAAAGCAAGATTCTGCCTCAAAAAAAAAAAAAAAAAAAAAAAGAAAAGAAAAGAAACAGTGCTAGTGAGCAAAACAAAGCCCCCATCCTTAAGGAACTTGAATTCTGACTGCTTTTTATTTTGTATACATCAGTAAACATATGTCAGGATTTACACTATGAAGAAAAATGAAGCAGGATAAGGGGTGAGAGTGACGAGGTACTGTCCTGTCTAGAATGACATGGAAGGCACCTCTAAAGAGGGGATCTTGAGCAGTGGCCTGAAGGGAATGAAGGAGCGTGGGGAAAGGGCATTCCTTGTAGAGGAACATCAAGCACCGAGTGTCTGGCCGCCAGAAGGATCAGCAAGGAGCCCCCGGGCCTTGGTAGCCTGAGTGAAGAGAGAGAAGCAGATGAGGTGGGAGAGGGGGACAGGCCCCCGAGCATGAAGGGCATTGTGGGCCAGGAAAGGATTTGGAGCTAAATGTGAAGAGAAGAGAAGCCATTGAATGGTGCTGAGCTGGTTAGGGGACATTACAAGGGAGAGGGTGTCTCAGGCCAGGGTGATAATGGTGGGTAGTGAAAGGTGGTTGGATTTGGGATCTATTTGGAAGGTAGATGCAACAGGATTTCCCAGTGGATGGGATAGAAGTAGGGGAAAGGACTCCAAGAATGATCACAAGGTTTAGGCCTCGGCAACTAGATACTATTCGTTAAGGTTTGGGGGAAGATCAAGAGTGTGGTTGGAGACGTGTTCCCAGCTGAGAAGCCAATCAGACATCCAGGCTGTCTGTATAAGTCTGGAGCTCCGGAGAGCCTGGGGTTGGAGTGGTCCGTGTACAGAAGATGTTTAAAGCTGTGGGGCTGGATGGGATCACCTAAGGAGGGAGGGTGAGTAGGGAAGAGAAGGGCTCTGAGGGCTGAACCTGCGGGCAACCCGAAGTTAGAGATAGGGAAGGAGAAAGATCAGCAAAAGATGCAAGGCAAACATAATACCAGGGCAATCCCAGGTCCTATTCTGTCCCCCATCCTGTGTCCCCAGGACCATTTGAGGGCCTCCATCACCCAGTTGTTTCTTTTCAATGGTCCTTCAGAGTCCCTGAGGCAAGCTGCACTCACATAGACTAGAAAATCCTGCGTGTATTTTGTGTGCGACTCTGTGGTAGTGCCGTGTTTTTCAGTTGCTTGTGAGATCTGCGAATATCCCTTCTCATCACATTCCGAGTGAACTGTCCTGATCCCATGGTTTCTCAGTGTCTCTGAAATTCTTGTGACCTTCAGTCCTGAGGACCATCCTTCTCTGAGTAGGGAGGCTGGGGGTCGAGGCCGGGCCTCACTGCCATTGTTTCTGGCTGCATTACCAATGAAAAGAGTTCGACCCAGCTGAGCTAGTGTGGCGGCTGCCAAAAGTAAGCCCTTCACAAAAATGGTGTGCTGAACGGTAACTGCAGAGACATTGGGGGTTCTTAATTTTAAACTATCAGAAAAGAAGTAACGGGCAATATGTGATTCTCAGGTGTGAAATGCAACCATCACACGCTTGTCCCAGAAACACAGTTTCATTTTTTCTAAATCAAGTGTGACTCCAATCCCTCACTGGCCACTCATAGTAAGAGGAGGCCTGGGGGTTTACGTGGTACCTCTAAAACCTAACAATACGGACCAAAACATGACAATTGTTGAACACCAAAACTGGCTCAGTCACCTACATCATCCCCTGAGCAGCCCTGTCTCCTCCCCAGTCCACCGCTCCGGAAACTGGAATGACCCTGTGCGGAAACCAGTGAGAACCTTGAGCAGTTCTCTCAAGGTGGGGCTTTTTCAACAGATTGTTCAAAGGACTGTATTGACATGACGTTTGTCAAGCCCATAGTGAGACAAGAGGAGAGGAAGCTGTGTGTAAAGCCAAACCCTAGAGCAAAGGAAGTTCTTCCCTCCGGTTTGCCCACCACCCAACAGCACAGCCACCAGCCCTGGTCACCCTCCTGATGCTGGGACACAGCCCCGCCCTGCCCCGACACCAGCCCACAGGCCCTGTCAACAGCCTTGCCGTTCCCGGCCCAGAGACCCCACCTGCTCTCTCCAGACAGTTCAGCGTTTGTCCCTGCGAAGGCTTTCTGAAAACAAAGGCCTATTAATTCCGTCCTGTTTGCAAGCGAAGCCCCAGTTCTCTGGTACTCAAAGCACACGCTGCTCTCTCGAGGGGGTGGTGAGAAGAGGATGTGAGGAAGGATGACTTTTTGTTTTTTTCTCTTTTAACAGAAAGAACAAAACAAAAAACAGTAACTTCATAAATCATCCTGCCAGGCAGAGAGGAATCTCCCATTTTCAAGCTACAATAAATGTGTTTTTGTAAAATGTTTTACTATACAGAGTTAGTAGACAACGGTACAGTGAATCTCCATGTAACATCACCCTCCGCGCCGGCCATCAACTCGAGGCCAATCCTGTCCCCATCTCCAGAGGTCCCTCCCTCATAATTTTGAAGCAAATGTAAAGCATCATTTTATTTTATTCATAATTTTTTTCAGTAGGCATGTTTAAAAGATACTTAAAAGATAAAGACTCTTAAAAATTACCTATAACACTATAATCTTCCCTTTAAAATAATAATGGTTTGGCCAGGCACGGTGGCTCATGCCTGTAATCCCAGCACTTTGGGAGGCCGAGGCAGGTGGATCACCTGAGGTCAGGAGTTCGAGACCAGCCTGACCAATATGGTGAAACCTAGTCTCTACTAAAAATAAAAAAATTAGCTGGGCATAGTGGTGTGTGCCTGTAGTCCCAGCTACTTGGGATGCTGAGACAGGAGAATTACTTGAACCCGGGAGGTGGAGGTTGCAGTGAGCCGAGATCACACCACTGCACTCCAGCCTGGGCGACAGAGTGATACTCCATCTCAAAAACAATAATAATAATAATAATAATAATAATAATAATAATAATAGTTTAATGTTATCATATATCCAGTGTTGAAAAGATCAGTTTTCCCATAAATGAATAAATGACTCAAAAAAATACTGTACAGCGGCCTGGCGCAGTGGCTCATGCCAGTAATCTCAACATGGTGAAACCCTGTCTCTACCAAAAATACAAAAATTAGCCAGGTGTGGTGGTACACGCCTGTAGTCCCAGCTACTCAAGGGGCTGAGGCAGGAGGATCACCTGAGCCTTGGGAGGTTCAGGTGAACTGTGATTGGTCTACTGCACTCCAGCCTGGGCAATAGAGTGAGACCCTGTCTCAACAAAATAAATAATAATAATAGTAATAAATGCCTCACAGTTTGAATTAGGAGTCAAGATTCAAACTGTGAATCTTGTGATTGGTTACCATGGGTTTTTTGTTTGTTTTTTAAGATGGAATTTTGCTCTATTACCCAGGCTGGAGTGCAGTGATGTGATCTTGGCTCATTGCCACCTCCGCCTCCTGGGTTGAAGCGATTCTCCTGCCTCAGCATCCCAAATCACTGGGATTACAGGCACCCACCACTATGCCCTGCTAATTTTTGTATTTTTAGCAGAGACAGGGTTTCACCATGTTGGCCAGGCTGGTCTCGAACTCCTGAACTCAGGTGATCCACCTGCCTCAGCGTCCCAAAGTGCTGGGATTACAGGCGTGAGCCACCGTGCCTGGCCTGGCTAGCATGCTTTTAAAGTTTCTTTTAATGCGTAGTTTTTACTCCCAACCTTTGTCTTATCCTTGCAGTTCAATTATTGAAGGAACCACTTGTTTGTCCTGTAGAATTTTCCACATCCTGGTTTTGTTGGTGGCATCATCGTGGTATATGTAATTACTGTATTTGTCTGTCTTCTCTACTTGATAAGTTGGCAGTTGGATCTAGAGCAAATTCAGCTTTGATTTGGAGGGACCAGATTACTTTACAGGTGTTGTACCCTTCTATCAGGAAGCTCATGATAGCTGATTGTCTCTCTGACATCAGTACTATTGTTGATGAACACTAGGTCTATATTAATACATTAGGGATTGCAGAATGGTGATGATCTAATTCTATCATTCTGCATTTATTAGTATTTCCTTTATTTATAAGTATTTTCCTTTATCAGTTTTCAAAATAATGATTTGGTTTCTCAATATTCCTTAATAGCAACCAAGTAGTTTTTAAAATTATTTTTTAAAATTGATGCATAATAGATGTACATACTTTCAGGGTACATGTGATAATTTAATATATTTATATCAAGTATATTTTGCTTTTTAGTGTTGTTATAAAGTCATGAATATTTGGTATATTTCAATCCATTGTCGTCATTATTCTTATTGATGTTCACAGTATCCCATTTTTGAATAGTGGGAGCTGCTTCAGGTTGGATTCTAAAAGCTTCCTGCATATATGGCATAAGATGATTTAGGTTCATCTTGTGCCGTATTGGTTTCCAATGACGTTATCAATCTTTTGTGACACGAGATCGGGGCCAACAGTGGGCCTTTGCTAATGACGTGTTATTAGGGAACAAGTAGAGGAAAAAGTTTGCTTTGTGTTAGAGATTTACAGATCATTTACTTGTTTTTGCACCATGTTTCTACACAATAGTGCACAGACACACAACTCACTGGTTAAATGGAGACCACAGAAATCTCTGGGATACTTTATGAGCAGCCTAATATCTCCTGATTCTACAAGCTAGATCGGAGAATGCGTCTGGAACCTGAGGCCAAATTGTGGTCCTACTATTTCTCAAATCAAGACAGGATTCATCTATGGGGAA